CGGAGACTTGGGAGGCGAATCCGGCCCGTCGAAAGCCCTTCCTCGATGAACGCGTCGAGCCTCGCGTTGCTCGAGGGGCGAGATGGGGTACACCTTGCAGTTGGTGGGCTTAGCGTCGGGGACGAGTTCAATGGCGTGGTCCCAGGCTCTCCGCTCCGGTAGCGTGTCGAAGGACTCCTTGTTGAAGACGTCCTGGAACTCCTTAGCCCAGTCCGGGATCTCGGAGGGCAGAGGGGCGGAGTTCCTGGCAAAGGCTTCGGCCAGGCGCTGTGAGACGGTGCTGCCTGCGCGTATCTCTTCCGAGGGACGGAACGAGGTGTAGAAGATGTGGTCACCATCTTCGAGCTGGTCGTCTTCGTCATCCGAGTCCGAGTCCAGTATTAGATCAGGCAGGTCGGAATCGAGACCGGAATCGGAATCATCTCTGTCCTCAGGGCCAGAGAGGTCCATAGTGCAAACCGAGGGGAACGGGCCAGAGCAGAGACGTTTCTGGAGCGACCGGAGTCGCCGCAACTCAGTCCGTTCGACGTGCTCTTCCTCACGGCAGGTCGAGCAATTGCGGGGGCACCGTGTCATCTTGACCTCCTTGGTTTCCCAATTGATCTCTGGGTTGTGTTTCCGCAACCAGGAGTACCCTAGGATAAGGTCTTGCTTGCCAAGATGAGTGACGGCCAGTTGAACTCGTTCGGCATGGCCTTTGTAGTACAGGACCAAGTCCGCGATCTGTTTGATGGAGCCAGCGTCATTGGGGGTGCCATCGACATTGAAAACCGGAATCGGCTGATCGAGGGTGCGGACCGGAATGCCATTCCGAGCAACATAGTTCGTGTCAATGAAGTCGGAGGTGGCACTGCAGTCGACAAGCCCAGAGAGCAAGAGCTTCAGCGCGCTGGTGGTGGACTCTAGCTCCAACAGGAGGTGGAGGGGGAGTTCGCCCCAGGGGCAGTGGCAACAGTGTACTGCTTGGGCAGTTTCTTTTCCCAGGCAGTGAGGCGGCAAAGGACGATGGCCAGAGTCGCGGGTGGAGTCGGAGACGGAGTCGAGGCGGGGGCAGGAGAGGGTGTGTCTTTCGTTTCGGGCTCATTGTAGGGCAAGGAACTGCATTCATCATACAAGGAGGCAAAACAATTTATAGACGCGAACGAGGGCACACCGGTCACTCGTCGCGGGGGACAAAATCCTCTCCGGCCATCGACTCCGCTGCCGTCTCCGGTAGGGCAGCTGTGTCCGTGTAGTGGGCGATCAACTCCGCTAACATCTTGTCACCGAGTTGTTGGATCACCTCGTCGAGGATGTCCATCGAGCGGACATCGGCGGGGAGGGGGCAATCCCGGGCGAGATAGTTTGGGTCGCCGCACCTGAAGCAGGCGCGACGAGGGGCACCCCGAGCCCTGGTGCGATCCAACTCCATAGAGACGGGAGCTGGAGGCGCCGGAGCGGGGGCGCGGGCCGCGGGTGGCACGACCGGAGCCACCGGGCGGAAAGGGGCCGGAGCCGGGATGCGGTTGACCGGAAACGGAGTCCGAATCAAACCGCCAGGCATCTTGGGGGCGGCTGACTTGATCAGCTTGGCCCGGACCAGGGCCTCGTATTGACGGAAGGCCCGGGTGCGCCAGCTAAGGTAGTCCCGGAGGTCCGGGGGGTCGTTCGAGGACGTGATTCCGTTGTTGATCAGGGGGTCAAGTCCGTGGCGGAACTTGGTCACCTTGACCAACGCGTCTTCGAATCCGGCAAGGTCCATCAGGTCCTCGAAGTCGTCGGTGTACTGGTAGACATCCTTTGTGCCCATGTGATAGGCGGAAGTCTCCAGTTTGGAGAGAGCATGATCTTGCTCATTCTCCTCGACGAACCGGAGTCGGAACTCGGAAACGAACGAGCCCCAGGACGGAAACGGAAACGGGGCTTTGCTTCCGTGGCGCTCCGCCCATTGCTGAGCGGGTCCTTCTGCCATAAACGACATGGCATAGCAGACGGCCTTTTCCTCGCTCGCCTCTCCGTTGACCACGAAGGCCTCAGGGGCAAGGCGGCGTAGGTGCGGACCGCGTAAAGGACCGCACGGCCGCGTTTCCGGTTGCCGTTGAAGGTGAACGGGGGGTTTGGTCGCAAGACCAATTTTGAGGCGAGGTTGATGTCGCCAAAAAGGGCTTCGGAGTCACCCTGGACCGGAGTCGGAGTCGGAATCAACGTCTCCGGCGATGGTGTTTGGGGTCCACCAGCATTATTAGCAGCAGCAGCGGCAGTGGCAGCGGAAGCCTGGTTGGTGAGTAAAGCAAGGGCCTCAGTTAGGCTATCAATTTTCGCCTCGAGTGAGTCCAGCCGAGCGTCTGCGGTAGGAGTGACTCCGGACGGCATGACGGGTGCGGGGACCACAGGAGTAGAGGAGGAGGGGACAAGTGGCAGGGGCGGTGACGAGGGCGGAACGGACTTGTACTCCGAGCCTGAGTCAGCGCCGAACCTGGCAATCTTGTCCGGTTGATCCTGTAGAGAGTTTCTTCTGCTGTAAGGGCAACCCCGGAGGCCTGAGATCAAGGTCCTAGCAGGGGAGGATCCAAAGCGTGAACATTGGTAAGCGAATACAAATGAAGCTGATCTAGCAGGGGAGGATCCAAAGAGAAGAAACTCTGAGGGTCCGCCTGCTAGGTAGCTGACTATATACTACCTGTCCGTAGCTGCCGCTATCGGGCACAGAAGGCTTGGGCGGCGTCGCAGGCGAGGTCCCAGGGCGAACGTCGAGAGGGCGTTGACGGATCGGTGATTGTGCAGGCAAGATGGAGGGCCAGACCGGAGTCGGAACCGGAGTCGGACCGGAATCGGGCACGTCTCCGAGGGGCGGAAAGGGGGGTTCCCCTGATAGTATCAGGTCGTCGGGTCGTCTGACTTCGAAGAGGACGTCAACCTTGAAGGGGGGGTAATGTCAAATCCTGGGTTCAAAAACCCTTTTTCTTCGCCCTTTAAACCTTTTTTTTGGCCCTGGTTGATAAGATAAGACAAGGAGGAGATAAGATGGACGATAAGATGGTGATTGGATAATCAGATGTCGATGCTGATGTTGATTGACAGCGTGGAGTTGGACATAAGGCAGACAGCACCTAAAGGCATGGCATCGTAAACATATGGTAGTAGTGTATATAAGTAGAGTAGATTTTATCTTGTACCCCAGTCTCCGAATTTCATCATCTTTATGATATCTTTTCACGGTGCTTCTTGCTAGCCTTCACTGGTTAACTATCATCCTCTGAATTGGTATTGTTTGTGACACGGTCACTTGGGAAATAGGATCAAATCATTATCAATAATGTGAAAAATATACAAGTTTGGTAATATTAAGTATTTTTGACTTAGGTAGGGGTGCTGGCTGGGGTTTTCCACCTATCTGTATAGCCTACTATACACTGTGAATTATTGGGTCCGCCATGGTGGGTTGAACCCAATAATTCATGGTGATATCTGCAAGACCTATGCAAATAAATAATCTATAGCACATGGGATGAATAATTTCAAGTTTCAACACTTAGGTCCATCCAAGTATGAATGACTATGAATAATTTGAGTTGACAATGTATGACATTCTCTGATGATTGTAGTGTCAAATAGTAAAATGTCCTGTTTGGGAAATATATTACACTTGTTACTTATATATGATATGGAGAACGGCATATATAAGGCTAAAACTAGCCTTTGATCATTTATATATATATATAAAATAACATATATGAATATAATAAATATCACTAGTTTCTGTGACATGTGTGACATGTTGTCACTGGATGAGTATTTTTAGATGAAATTAGCCCACAGAGTTCCCAAGAGTCAAACAGAGCCATGTCATCATCATAACATGCAAGTGGCAAGTGGCTCCTTGGTCAATCCAAGGGTGGGCAATAAGGATAATAGTAGTGCATTGATTATTTTGTGTTGTTCATATGCCTTGGCTGTAGAGGCTTTGCTGGTGTCCTGTAGTGGGTGAACAGAAATGGTAGAGAGGACTCTGGATGTATGGGCACTGGGTAAAGAACACTTGCAGACAGGACTGAAGGCCTTAATGAGTAATGTGGAATGGGTCCATTCAAGTTGTAAGGGCAACCCCAGAGGCCTGAGATTAAGGAGGATCCAAAGAGAAGAAACTCTAAGGGTCCACCTGCTAGGTAGCTGAACTATATACTGCACTCTTGATGTGCCAAATGTGATTGTTGCTCTGAGCAGTATGGCTTTGTCACAAGCCATGTTCCAGGGGGATCTCCAGGGCAGGATGGTGATGCGCCTGATGGAGGCATGATGTGATCACCAGAACCGGACCTATGGTACACCACATTGTTTCCGATGATGAAGACAACGACGATGAAGATTTTGTTGATATCGACAGGGGTAAGAGTGAGTGTCAAACAGATGATTTAGATGCTGGTGTGTTGGATAAGGGGAAGGGGAAGTGCCTTAAGCATAGTGGGAGCGGACATCTGCCATACTTGATTCATGTACCAAATATACTATAAATGCACCTGTACTCTATTATGAATTCAGGTGAAATGTTCACATGAAAGCTCAGTGTTTCAGTTCATAATCACCCTGAGTTCATCCTGAAATGACCAGAATTAAATCCCTGGAATTGTGAAAAAATCATCCTGAAAAAATTCCACCTGAATTTTAGAAATTTCATGTCTATTCCAGGTCATTAATACATGGATTACAGGTATATTTAGTACAAAATTTCTATGTGAAATTCAGGCCAATCTCGAACCACAGTGCAAATTGCCACATTGGTGATTGAATTTTGCAGTCTTCTTAGAGGGCAAAAGCAAGGCAAAAGAAAAAAAAACTCACTTGATTGAAATAGTTTTTGGGTGGTTTGAATCCAGTAGCTACTGTAAGGCCGGGGCTTCAAGCTGACATCCTAAATGTTGAAAGGTGAAACATCAATGAATTCTTTTGGTAATCCTTCCATCATCACATCATCACATTCTATCACACGTCACACGTCATCCACGTCTTCACCCAACCACCACTTACGCGTTCCCGAACCCCTCCACATGCAGCACGACGCTTGGCCCGCCTCGGACGACGTCGCTGAACCTGCTGATCGGGTTGGACAAGGCTGAGCGCACGCCCCGCGCGAGCTCGGCGGTGCCGCATACTGTTGATCATCGTCAGAGAGGAAGGAGAGCGGGAGCAGAGATGCAGAGAAGGAGGCACGAACCATTGACGCTGAGCGCCCCGCCTTTCATGCGTGCTATTTCGCTGGTTATAATGCCGTCCACGTCGGGCCGGCCGTGGACAAGCTGCACTCCGGGGGTCTTCTCGGCCTTTTCATGGTCTGGCGCTGGGGTGGCGTCGGACGTAGAGCTCTTCTCCGATACGTCGCTCTCCTTCTCATGCTCCCCCACCTCGACGTCCTTCGTATCGGTGTCCTGCGTGTATTCCGGTGCCGCGGTCACGTGCACCCGGACCTCCACATTCAACACCGCGTCGGGCGAAGAGCCGAGCGCATCCAGGGCGCGAGAAAGGGTGTCCTGGATCCAGTCGACCTGCGCTGTCTCACGCACAGCCCAGACGAGGATAGCCCGTGTGCAGCGTGGGTTTCTTTGCTGTGTTGCGGCACTGGTGTTTGTCAGCACTCATTCTGTGACCAGAAAAGGGCTTACTGGATCAGATCGAGAAGTAAAGGCAACGCAAAAGACACTCCGGAGCCGCCGCAAATGAAGAGAACAGAGTCATACCCCCGCAGGTCGGGCGGGGCGCTGTAGGGGCCGTCGAGCAGCGCGGGAAACGTCGCTTGGCTTGGATTGGGGGCAGCGAGGACAGAGTCGCGCAGCTTACGGGTGAACCCGGTGCGCACGCGGATGATGAACAGCAGCTTTTTGGTTGACAGCGCTGGTGTCTTTTCTTCGCTCTCCTTGTTGATGAGCAGGGCGTCCCAGCCGGGGACGTTCGCAATCGTGAAGGGGTGCGCCTCGAGAATGCTGCCGGGGTAAGCACCAACAAGGGTGACATACATGCTCTGCCCGGGGCGCCATGACGTCAGCGGGGGCGCGTCAACGAGCACGCGAAGGAAGCCCGGGTTCGGGAGCACTGTCACGTGCGCGTCACTCGTCAGTCTCCGCGGGGTACGCCCCACAAGCTGCGAGTTCAAGATCCCTATGCGAAGGAGACGGAGCACGCGGTCGAGGCCCCAGACGAACATGGCGGGCCACACGAGCTCGGGGTAGCCCCAGCGGGCGCAGTGGATGTACGACCCCGCGAGCCCGAGGACGCCGAGCGCGGCATGGGCATACATGAACGCCTCGTGGTGGCGCACGCGGGCCGGGCGGACCGACATCAGCGCAAGCAGAGTCAGCGCCGATGTCCCCGCTGTCCCGATGCGGAACCAGTACTCCTCCTCGAACGAGCCGTGTGGCAGTCTGACGCGGCCGATGCCGTGCACCCAGAACATGAGGATCAGCACGCGAGCGGTCGCGCGGTGGAGGTACTCGAGCTTGTCGAAGGAGACGCCCGTCAGCCACGCGATCGGGTTGTTCTTCATGCCGAGCGCGGCCATCAACGGCAGCTGCGCGGCCGCGATGTGCGCACAGCGGTTCGCCCAGTATTTGGGGTCGTATTTCATCCCCTTCGAGTTCGTTGCTTTAATATTTTTCTCAGATCAATATTTCGGAGAGAACGGCCACGCACTGTTAACGAACGTCCAGCAGAACAGCGCAGTGAAGTACACCCCCGCGAGCATAAAGTCCGCCACGTTGATGGTGTACGTCCCCCAAAATTCAACGTTGAGCGTCCAGCGGAACACCACTGTCCGGTAGACGTTCAGCAGCGCGAGCGGCACACGGCGCCAGCTCCACTTCCCCTTCTCCAGCGGGGCGGGCGGGCGGTTCCGGGTGAGGCGCGCGTGGAGCCGGGCGACGAGGTGCGCGGCGGTGACGAGCGCGATGAAGGCAGCGACGAACCACGCGACCTGCTTCGGCGTCTCCTTCGAGAGGAAGATGCGCCGTGTGCGGTCCGGGTCGGGCTTCTGGGCGAGGACGGACATGTGTTTTTCGTGTTAAGTTTTCGTGTCTTTTCGTTGGTTTCGTGGGGATGCAGAGGGGGGAGCGGGAGAGGGGGGGAAGGCTGAGGGGGGTGAGGGAGAGAACGAAGCCGTTGGCGGTTACGTACGCGGACGAGGCTTATGAGCACATGGGCCTGGCGAGAGGTACGTGCTTCCCGGCCCCGCTTCCGCATCTCCGGATGAACGCATCGCCCAAAACCCAGCAGAGATCAGACTGCCTCGCTCCGTTTTGCTCCCAGCCCAGCAAGTTGACCAGGCCAGCTCTACCCTGTCCACCGAGCCCGCGCAGTGCCGCCCGCAGCGCGGATGGCCAGGAGGAAAGAAACCCAACAGAGAGAGGAAAAAAAGAAGCGCTCCACCGCCTGCCACGCGCCCGTTAATCAGATAAGAAGCGGGTGATACTGATAAGATGTCACGCTGCAGGCTATCAGATAGCGGCGCGCGCGATACGTTTTGCCGGAAAAAAGACACGCTGTCGGCCCTTGGAACAGCATGCGTGCGTCCGCCAGCGCCCGCCCCGGGCTCAGCGGGAGCTGGAATGCGTGGTGGCAGGTGTAGCGCCAAGCCCGTGCGGTGACACTGGGCCCTGGCCAGGGACAACATACAACGTCGACGGACTGGCGACGTCGAAGCACGAGCGCGGGAAGCGCGGACGATCGAGCCGATCGCAATCGCGCGGGAAACAGAAAAGACCTGGGATTGGAGTGCAAGACTGTGCAAGAGAACAAGGAATCGGGTCGCCGACTGGCAGTCGGAACCATCTATTATAATGCCACAGGCCACGCATCTGCGAGAACCTCCGCAGACACCGCGAGCGACAGAGCGTGGGAGCGCCAAAGCCGACGAGGCACAACTACCGGCCGCGGCCCCTGTATGGGAGACATACTGTAAAAAAAGATTAGAGACAACTTAGGTAAAATACAACAAAAAATATGCTACAACTTCATATTGACTACAACTACATGTTTGTCAAATATAACTTTAGCAATAACATATACAACTTGTCTGAGTACAACTTTCCATCATGAGATGACTCTTTTGAGAGCATGTACAACTGTAGGGGATGCAACTTTCTTGGAAGCATGTACAACTTTCAGAATCACAACTTTTCCAGAAACAACTTTTCATTTAGCCAAAGACAACTACAACTTCTAATAAGACATCTTTGGCCCTAATTCAGGTACAACTTTTTCCTGGGTGAGGCAACTTGAGTCTGGCTGTAACAAGTCCAACTTGGGCAAAGACAACCTGTCATTGCATACAACTTTCCAAAGCACAACTTGTTCTGAGTACAACTTTTTTGGGGTACAACTAGCCAATTGGAAAACTTTTTTTAGTATACCTTTAATTCTGTATACAGCTTATTTGGACGCAACTTGGACCTTTTTGGCCAGCCATCACTGATATCATCAGATATCATTAGTGTATCAGAGAACCAGATTAAATATGCTTTACTCTACCTATGTTGGCTAGCAAGTTTACATTGTGATGTAGTACTATAATACAATCATGCCAAATGATTTCTGAATAAATCATGTATTTTTTTAAAAATTGATTGCCGTTGATGGCCGCTGATAGCAAGTGATGGAAGAATGGAAGTTGTACCTTGCCTGAAACAAGTTGTATCTAGGCCCACAAAAGTTGTACCAGAGGCCTTGACAACATGTATCTTGGAAAGTTGTGATTTACAAAGTTGTGGCATTCTAAGTTGAAGTAGCTCTTGAGAAAGTTGTACCTCAGAAAGAAAGTTGTACTTGAAAAAAGTTGTACTCAAAATGAAAAACCAAGTTGTATTTAAGAAAGTTGAAGATGCTGCTGGAAAAGTTGTCTGCTCATTATAAGTTGTCAATAGTCAGAAAGGTTGGACTTGGTGAAGTTGAACATGTCTTCGGGGGGGTTGTCATTAAGTATAAACATGTCACCAGCAAGAGTAAAACATGTCGCCAGAAAAGTTGTCTTTGGGGTTGACTTGTACATGTCCACAGGGTGAAAAGTTGTATCTAATTTTCAAAGTTGTATGTGAAAATTGTAAAAAAGGCAAGTTGTATCTCCGAAAAGTTGTATTCATTTCAAAACATGTATGAAATACTTTTTTTACAGTATGTCCCCCATACCCCTGCGCAAGAGTTGAATTTGCCCATAACTCGGTGAGACAACAGTAGAACTTATATACCATCACTGTCATGCAGTGTGGACATAAGGACTGCCGCCCAAGACTGAAACTGAAAAAACACCGCCGCCATTGTTTTTTCTGTATGCCCAGTGGCCATGGTCGACATGAAGAGCTGGGTTCAAGGGGGCCCAAGATACAAAATTCAGTATACTTGGGTACTACAGCGAACTGGGAAGAGAGACGTACTGAGAAGCGAGACATAACCCTCTCATGTGTCAATCAGGATGAAATTTGAAGGGGTCGTAGATCTCATAATGGAGAGTACACAGAAAAAAAATTAGAGGATTTTATCTAGCACAAGCCGTGAAATAAGGGAATTGGTCATTTTGTCACATTTCAGACTGCTCCGAAAGTTTGACCCATTCCATGTCAGCCAGTGTATAGATTGAGCTGAAACTTTGCTGGAACGTGGGTAGAGGATACTAGATGGTATCTAGGCCTTCATCTGTGCAACAAGTACAGCATAGTGCTTATAAATCTCACTTGTCTCACTTGTCAGTACATACCTAATATGGTAACTGAAAGTAAGCATTCATATCTAAGGGAATCCTGGACCAAAATATCTCATAACCTACATATATATCCTTGATCCTAATCTGCGTTGGTCCTCCAGGTCTCGAATGTGGGAAGCTCTGATTGAGCTCGCAGTGGCTGTCCCTGTAGAGTGTCTCTCTTCCCAGTTCGCTGTAGTAATAGCTTACACGAAATTCGGCCGGTGGCCGAATTGAACATTTCAGCCAAACAGTCATGGGTCACAGGCCTGCGAAATGGGTCAGTAACCCAAATGTGGGTTCAGTCTGGCCTGGTTTGGGTTTGAGCTGACTTTCCAAACTAGATCTGAGCAGCACTACTTTGGACTTATAACAAGTGAAACAATAATAAATAAATTGAGAAGTAGATGATGTCACAAAGGGATTTATTAGAAACTAGACATAGCTGGGCAAAAATGATATTATCAATTAGCAAAGATGACTGTCTGTAAAGTGAGTGTTTCTGTTTTTTGTGACTCTTGTGTCAAGTCACGGAGCAGCCTCCGTGAGTTGAGACTAGGAATGGTTGGTGGACTTGTCTGAATAAGTTTAAATTATAAATATTTACCTTGCAAAAAAAGAATTGGCATAAACTAATTTAAAAAAATCAGTTTATCATAGTAGTCAGTAGTGAAACATCTAATTACGTCGTGCTTGAACTGCAAACACTGCAACCCACATGACTAGAACTTATGATCAGTTGAAAGGTAGATGATATTGGTCCACAGACAATTATGTGGCATCACATGAAACTTTTGAAATGTTAGCCTAGACAGAATCTCAATATAGGACAGATCAGGCACTCACGCAAACTAGTGTAACAATTGAACCAGTACTTTAGTCATGGTCAAGGACAGAGGATGAGCATAATATAAGTCTTACCTTGTTATAACTCCAGTTTCTGAATGGTTTAGGAACACAGTTTTTAGAGAGAGGATGTGGGTGTGATCATGTTATTGTACTTACCAATTGTCCACATAACTATCCTATCAACAAGCATAGTTGTCCTGTAGATGGGTATTTTACTTTACATTTGACTGATAGTAGTAACTTACCGTTTATGGCCTACATTCCGTTGCACCCACAGGAAATAGACAAGTGTTGCAGTGATCATTAGATCCTGCAGTGCACTTACCGCCCAAACAGTGATTCCTAGTGGCTGCCACTGGTCGACAAGCTCTACAGTTGTCTGTACATGTAGTACAATTATGAATAGCGCTATCCCAGTTGCCAGCCGTCCAAGCAACAAAAGGTAAATGAAGAGGGGGATGATGTGTGTATGGGAGACATACTGTAAAAAAAGATTGGAGACAACTTGGGTAAAATACAGCTAAAAATATGGTACAACTTTATATTGACTACAAGTACATGTTTATCACATACAACTTCACTAATGACATGTACAACTTGCTTGAGTACAACTTTCCAACATGAGACAACTTTTTTGAGAGCATGTCCAACTTTAAGGGATGCAACTTTCTTGGAAGCATGTACAACTTTCAGAATCACAACTTTTCCAGAAACAACTTTTCATTTAGCCGAAGATAACTACAACTTCTAATAACACATCTTTGGCCATAATTCAGGTACAACTTTTTCCTGGGTGAGGCAACTTGAGTCTGGCTGTGACAAGTCCAACTTTGGTAAAAACAACCTGTGATTGCATACAACTCTCCAAAGTACAACTTTTTCTGAGTACAACTTTTTTGGGGTACAACTAGCCAATTGGACAACTTTTTTTAGTACACCTTTAATTCCGTATACAGCTTATTTGAATGCAACTTGGACCTTTTTGGCCAGCCATCACTGATATCATCAGATATCATCAGTGGATCAGAGAAACATAATAAATATGTTTCATTCTCCCTATGTTGGCTTGCAAGTTGGTCAAATAGACAATGTGCTGTAAACTACGATACAACCATTCCAAATGATAACGAGTACCATGAAGGCTTTGGATGGTTTTGACTTCAATGAAGAGGATGGGCAGCATGGTATCAATGTCTACCTTAAGGCAGTAGTTCAAGCAGTAGCCTACTTTTCAAATATGTCTTAATAAATCATTTAATTTTTAAAAATTGATTGCCATTGATGGCCGCTGATGGCAAGTGATGGAGGAATGCAAGTTGTACCTTGCCTGAAAAAAGTTGTGTCTAGGCCCAGAAAAGTTGTACCAGAGGCCTTGACAACATGTATCTTGGAAAGTTGTAATTTACAAAGTTGTTGCAGTCCAAGTTGAAGTGGTATTTAAAAAAGTTGTACCTTAGAAAGAAAGTTGTACTTGA